TGTGGGTGAGATCTGCTTGCCAAGAGAGCCCCATGGCTTGTCCTTCTTGGCTCGTCATGGCTCGGACCAGATCAGGTTTCTAAGCTCTTCCCAAGCCGGTAGCTTTGGGGTTTTTTTTCCTTTTTTTAAAAAAAACAGCGCTGATTTTCTCCTTTCCCCACCCTCCCATCCTCCACCCTGCGATGTGTGGCCTGGCCTGAAGATGGTGAACGAGCAGCAGTGGTGCTCCAGAGCACGGCCAGGGCTGGGCCACCTCTGTGGCCACCCAGCTCCCCTGAAAATGCTCCCCGAGCCCAGGCAGGCAAAGGGGGCTCAGCATCTCCTGCTGCACCCATCCCTCTGGTCTCCTGTGTGTTCCCACCTGGTGTCCCCAGAGAACAGGACCAGAAGGGGAGGGGGGCAGAGCTGTGACCCTCTCAGCCCCCCAAAGGTGTTTTCTGCTCCCTGCTGGCACAGCAGCCACCATGAGTCTCAGTCCCTCACTGCAGAAAGGGCTGCGAGCCCTTTCCCAGGATGCTGTGGGGATGAATACAGCAGATAGCGTGAGGTTCCCAGAGCAGGTAACATCCCCCTAATTAAGATAAATACTAATTAAGTCTGGGACTTTCAGAGAAGCCCTGGGAGCAGACTCCAACTCCTGTTGAATTTCAATGGGAACGAGACACCTGACTCCAGCAAACGGCAGCCTCTGCTATGAAGCTGAAATGGGCCCTTCTCTGAGGGTGATGTATTGCTGCTCTGTAAGTTATGAGAGCCTTCCCGTATATCCCACACAGCATCCATGTCCTGGAAATGCTAATCAGGAGCTCCGGGAGGGCAGCACAGAACAGGCTCCACGTCAGACGCCCATGATCACCCTGTGCTATTGAGCACTGGGGACAAGCTTTGAGCAGAGCTCACCAGGCTCTGGCTGAGCCCCAGGTGCTTTGTGCATCCCTCCTCCTCCTCCTCCTCTTCCTCCTCCTTTCCAGCTGTGGAGAGCTGATGCTCTGTCAGGCCCAGCCCTGTGCTTTGTGGGGTGGGAGAGGTGAAGGGACAGGGCACTGCTGGTGGCTGTCTCTGCTGGGAACAACCTCCCAGAGAGCATGGAGGGACAGAGGTGAGGAGCAGAGCCCTGGCACACCCAGATGGATGGGGCTGCAGAGATGGGGCGTCCAGCCTGAGTCCAGTGCAAGCTGTGGGTCACCCCTGCCAGGACCATGCCCTGAGGGCTGTGCTGGGTGCCCACAGCAGCAGGAGCTGTGTGGGGATCTGTGGGGACATAACACAAATGTGGTGATGGGATAGAAATGGAAAACATTGGGATTTTCAGTGCTGGGGAGCTGGGGGGACATAACATGGGTATGGTGATGGGATAGAAATGGAAAGCATTGGGATTTTCAGTGCTGGGGAGCTGGGGGGACATAACACGAGTGTGGTGATGGGAAATAAATGGAAAGCATTGGAATTCTCAGTTCTGGGGAGCTGGGGGGACATAACATGGGTATGGTGATGGGAAAGCAATGGAAAGCCTTGGGATTTTCAGTGCTGGGCTCAGGGAGTGAGCGCTGAGCTCGGGCACAGAACCATTGGGAACTCCAGAGCTGAGAACCCTCCATGAGGCACCAGCACATGTCCAGCTGGCTCAGACCCAGCTTTGTGACGGGCCGGACGTCACTGCCAGCCCCGAGGGCTGACAAACACAACCTCTGTGTGCCCCGGCCAGCGCCTGGTTCGAATTAGCATCTCCCCTGCCCCCAGCAGCAGCCATTTGGGCAAATCCCTCAGCTGTCTGCCAGGGGACACCGACCCCGGGAGCCCCGTGCTCTTCCCAAGGACTTTCCCAAGTCCCCGGTACACTTTAGCAATTAGAGGGTTAAGTTTCCTCCCGGCCTCGCTGCATTAACTGGAAAGGAATGAAGTGTCAGGCATGTTCTCACCACAGCAGGCTGTTGGAAAGCAACTCCCTTCTCCACGCACACACACCTCCCACTGCTGCGACCAAATTATTTTCTATCCTCCAGAGACCCAGTATGCCAGACAAAATCTGCAGCATGACTCTGATTCATTGCAAAAGGATGCAGATGTAATATTCCCTTTTTTGCCGGGGCTTCTCGCACGCTAATTCACACGGCATCTCGGCGCTTCCAGTTTTACAGCTCTCCTGCTCTCTTTATTATTTTTTTTTTTTCGGAGGGCTCTGACGCCCCTCGCTGACCCTTGGCCCCGCGTCCTTTCTCCCAGCACCACCAAAATAAAGACACTAAGCCTCCCATCTCCAGCGTGCAAATAGGCAGCTCTCCCCAATGTGCTAATTAGCCGAGTGTTTGGAAGTAAATAGGTAAGATTGGTGGTAATTTCCTGGCTGAAGGGGTAATTATTTGTTTCAAACAGGCTGCAAAATAACCCCCGTAAGGTGAGATAGGAAACTAAATTCAAAAGAGGTTTCCTATTCCCACTAAGCAGGATTGAAAACTGGTTTGAAATTCCTTTTTTTATTTATAGTACATGGTATCCATGGAAACCTACAGAGGAGGTCATGGTAGCTAGGCCTCCGTTTCACCCTGCTCAGGGGATTACCGTTGCACAGTGGTACGCAGCCGTGTAAGAAAGTGGATTCACAATTCCCCGCAAACACCCCCCCGCCAGCCCCCAGCCCCAGCCTTCCTGGAGGGCCGCAGGAGAGCTTTGGGGAGGCTCATAAATCTGCTCCGAGATGGGCAAGCGATGGGAGCGGAGCCTCCGGCGTCCCCCCGAAGCAGGAGGCAGCCGGGAGCGGGCCGGCTCCCCGCGGTACCCGGGCGGGATGCGCTGCGGGACGGAGCCGCGGGCGGCGCGGCAGCGGCAGCGGGAGCGGCGGGGCATCCGCACCTCCCCTTCCTGGGCTCCAATCCTGTGCATTTCCCTTCCCTGGGCTCCCATCCTGTGCCCTTCCCTTCCCTGGGCTCCCATCCTGTGCCCTTCCCCTTCTCTGGGCTCCCATCCCTGTGTACTGCCTCTTTCCTGGGCTCCCATCCCTATTCCTTTCCCCTTTCTGGGCTCCAATCCTGTGCCCTTCCCCTTCCCTGGGCTCCCATTCTGTGCATCTCCCTTTTCCTGGGCTCCCATCCTGTGCCCTTTCCTGGGCTCCTATCCCTGTGCCCTTTCCTGGCTCCCATCCTGTGCCCTTCCCCTTCCCTGGGCTTCCATCCCTGTGCCCTTCCCTGGGCTCCCACCCAGTTCCTTTCCCCTTTCCCGGGCTCCCATCCCCGCTCCAAGCCCCGCACGGAGGGGAGGAGCGCCATGCCCAACTTTTCACTCGGCTGAACCGAGCGAGGGAAGCCCCAGCGCGGTCCAGCTCCTGAATTCCCATTTGCCGGCAGGGATGTGCAGGCAGGGCCTCCTCTGCGTCCACCTTTCCCTGCTGTTCTGGGGGAAAGCGCTGCTCTGGAGGGAGAGCGTGGGCACAGGGATGCCGCAGCAATGACTGTGGGGTTTGGTCGTGTCCTGGGGTTGTGGTGCTGGGCACTGCTCCCCTCATGATTCCAGCAGGGATTAAAGGCTGCTCCTTGCCTTCAGGAGCTGTCGGTGCTCTCCCTTGAACGATCCTTTTGCTGCTGAGGATGAGAGCGGTTTCCCCTGCAGCCCGGCTGTGTGTGATTTAGCGGGCGAGCGCGATCATCACTTTCTATGCCGTGTGTACAGCCCGTGGAGCGGCTGATGCTCCACCAACACCCGCGAGCAGCAGCAGGAGCGCTCAGCCAGCGCTCTCCCCCGTGCTGGCAGGGCCCTGGCGCCGGGATGTTCCCCGGCAAGGCAGAGCTGGAACGTGGAGCTGCTCCACGAGCATTTTCCAGCCCAGCCCAGCCCATCCCAGCCATCCCCTGCAGCCCCCCGCGCTCAAAGCACAGCGACATTCCGCCTGTGACCTTCACTAATTCACTTTCCCTCTCCACGCCGCATTCCCCCGGCTCGCAGAAGGACTCGCTTTTTCACACAGCACAAAAATAGCCTGCGCAAGGCGTTGCCAGAGGAAGCTGCGGGGCCAGCGGCGCGGGCAGGCGGAGGCACCGGCGCTGCCCAGCGGGTCCCGGCCCCGCTCACGGCGCTCCCAGCCCGGCCTCCCCCATCACCCAGGCACCCCCGGCCTCCCGAACACCCCAGCTCCTGCCGTGCTGTGCGCTCGCTCTCGGGTGTGGTGAGATTCAGATGGTGGAGGTCAGCAGCAGGGAAATGCTGCTGCATTAACCTTCCCCCTTAAACTGAATGTTTATCCCCCCTCAGTTTAGGAAATTGAAGGCTGAAAGCATTAAATTTAGGTAAATTGCAAGGCAGATTTCTGAAGCTTTCTAAAGAAAAAAATGATCCAAAAAATAGTTTTCATGTCCTTTATGGAAATGCCTCTGGTTTGAATATCGGTCAGTAGGAAATAGCCCTGGAGCCATCACCATCATGCAAAACTGAACTGTTGGTACCAAACCAACATTGTTACCATAAAACACCTCCAGCTCCTCCTCTCTTCACCTTGATTCTTCCTCTGCCACCCCTCCAGCTGGCCTGTGCATGGCACCATGTGATTAAGCCACCTCCAGCCATTGCCCAGGCTTTGAGCCAGTGGTGTTTTCCCATTTCCCATCACCGTCCCAAATCTGCCTCCCAACCACCCCCCTGTTCTTCAGCTCCTTTCCTAGGCCTGCCCTTTGCCTGGGAGCATCTCATCTTCTGGGCAGGGCTTCAGCTGGCAAGGGAGGCAGCCTCTGGACACACCTCTTGGCTGATTTGAGGAGGTGAATTGCATCCTAGGAGTGTCCTTTTCTCTCCAGCACTGGCTGTAACTGCTGGAGCCGTCAGAAGGGAGGCAGAATGAGGCCAGCCCTGCTCTGTCACATGCCCAGCCTCTGTGCTCCATGCCAGACTCATCTCCTGTCCCCTCCCTGCCCCAGGGAGCCACACAAAACCTGCACCCAGCCCCTGTGTGGCTCACATTAAGTCCATCCCCGGGGCTGCTGGTTTTCCAGAGCTCACCACAATTCCGTGCCTACCTTGATGTGCGCTGTGCTCTCGCCAGTGCAGCCAATCAATCTTGCCTCGGCCAACAAGCAGGAGAGAAGCAATGCTTTCCCTACTCCCCCAGCTCTCTTCTCCTGATCTCCATCAGGCACTCAGCAAGTTCACAAGGGCAGCCCGCTCTCGGTTTCCTTGGTCACGCACAGCAGCTTGCCCTCCTGGAGTAATAAAAACAAATGACACGTTGCTGGTTGTTGTCAGAGACGTGGCTGGGCCCCTCACTGGAGAGCAGCTTTGGGGAGAAAGGAGCATTTGCATTTTTAGGTTCCTTCCTGGGCAGGTGGAGGAGAAGCTGCCAGTGGATGTGAATTGTCAGTGGATGTAATGCCAGAGTCAATGGAGAAGGGTGAGCAAAGGCTGAGGAATGCACTCTGTGTCTGCTCACAGAGCCAGAGATGGGGAAATGGTGCTGGAACTGATTATCTGGGAGCAAGCAAGACCCAGAGGTGCCTGTGCCAGGTCCTGGTGGCTGGCAGAGGGGGACAAGCCCCCGTTCTGTAATGCTGTACCTGGCACTGAATTGAGTCACCCTGGTGTGCAGACATCGGTTCTAGAAGATGAAGAACAGATTAAAGAGATTAAACCTCCCTTGTGGCTGGAGCCAAGACTGGCCCTGCTTCCATGTGCAGCATATATGCATCTCCTCCCAGTTCAGTGTCCTCTCCTTGTGGAGAAACACACAGACACACACTCTCAACTGCATGGGAGGAGAACACAAGCCCCCAGCAGAGCTGGAGCTTGGGAATTCAGCAGTTATTCATGCCAGGAGTGCAATCTGCCTTTAACCCCATGCAGCCCATGGTGATGGAGATCCTATTAAGCTGCCCCCCACTCAGGGGCTCTGCACCCCCCACCCTGCAAGCCCTGCATCCCATTCCAGCTGGGAGGAGCAGACTGTGCCAGCCCCTGCCCCATGGGCAGCCAGCAGGGAGCAGCTCCTGCCTGAAGGACTTCACCCTCTGCTTGCTGATTCAGGCACCAATCCCTGCTCCAGGACCTTCCAAAGACTCCAGGACGGAGGGGAGGGCTCACAACACCTTTATCTTTGGCTTTGCCTCTCCTTTTTTCCTATTTTTATTAGCTGGGAATCAGCCCATCCTTTTTACAGCTCTGGATTCGAGGGTGATCAGATGAAAGTGGAGAGGGGCTCCTGCATGGGTGGATGAGCAGCCATAAGGTCAAGGCACCTGAAGGAGAAGTTTCCAGCTTTCACAGCCCTAAAGATTGTCCCATAAAATTACTCATAAAATTAAAGTGGGGTTTGGGTTTCAAAGTCCTAAGAAACTTGCAATAGTCATCAGTCAATCTGGTATATGGGGAGCCTCAGAGCCCTGGTTGTGGAAGCAGAGGTTAATGCTGAGCTGTAACTTCTGCTGGGGGCACCATGGCCATGGCAGTGCCCAGCTCAGCTCAGGGTTATGGCTCAGGCACTGGGTGATAAGCTGTTCTCACTATCACACTATGGATCTGAATTTCTTCACTCAAATTCTTCCAAATAAAACACAAAGCCACTGTCTCCGAGGCTTGCACAGGATTTACGAGAACTGGGTCCTCTCCAGTTTTCTTTCCGTATCAAAGTGATGATTTAATTAATTGATGATGTAATTTCAGCCTGGAACTGAAGCTAACCTGCCAATTTGTGACTTTGACCTTGGTACAGATTAACCATGGTGGCAGTTAGTGTGAGTTTAACAGTGTCCAGGACAGCTTTGCTCTGGGGGTGCCTTCCCTGGACTTTGCTTTATAAAAATCCGTCCACAGCAGGGTAAAAGCAGAGAGGGAGGGACAGGGATTCAGGTGGCTCCAAGCATCTCAGCGAGGAGGAAACCCCCGGCTGTAGCTGTCGCTGTCACACCTATGGCAGCACCATCAGCTTTGAAGCAGCCAGGGGAGCTGATATCACTGATAAACAGCCCGGGCAGATCTCGGGAAGGTTCCACTCGGTGGCAGTGACGAGGTCACACAGCCTGTGGGACAGCACAGGGCACGGGGACAGGCTGCTGGGGAAGCCCTGGGGGCAGAGCCAGCGCTGCCCTGAGCTGTCACTGCCAGGGGAAAGGAAACAGCTCCAGGGACAGGACCCCTGTGCCTCAGCGTGCCCCTGGTGCCAGCAGGTCCTGGTGT